AAAAGGGCATAATATGGGACAGAAAAGGGCATAAACTGGGACAGAAAAGGGATTAAACTGGGTCAGAAAAGGGTATAATCTGGATCAGAAAAGGGACTGAAAATGGAATAAAAGTTTTTAAAACACCTCTCAGTGTTGCCCCATGTCTGGGTCAGAAAAGGGCATAAACTGGATAAGAAAAGGGTATAATCTGGGGCAGAAAAGGGCTTAATCTGGGTGAGAAAAGGGCTTAATCTGGGTGAGAAAAGGGCATAATCTGGAGCAGAAAAGAGTTTAATTTGGGTGAGAAAAGGGCTTAATCTGAGTGAGAAAAGGGCATAATCTGAGTGAGAAAAGGGCATAATCTGAGTGAGAAAAGGGCTTAATCTGGGTGAGAAAAGGGCATAATCTGAGTGAGAAAAGGGCTTAATCCAACATCCCTGCCATGGTTTTCGGGGTGTCTGACACTGCTATGGAGGTGTCCTGCTCTGGGGGTGTTTTTCTCTCCCCGGGCTGGCCCGAGGACAGCTCTGAGCTGCCCCCCTGGCTCTGTCCCTCCCGTTCCAGCCCTGCAGCTCCCAGCAGAGCAGGGATCCCCTCCGTGCGTGCCCCAGCTCGCTCCAGCTGATCCCTCTGGCTAAACCCGGCCCGGGGGGAGGCAGGGGAAGCCCCCCCCGAGGGGAGGCAGGGGCGCCGCCGGGAGGGCTCCCACCCACCCGGGGAGGCCACCAGAGTGTCCCCTGCCCCGGCACGCCGGGCTGCGAGCGAGCCCCGTGCCCCGACACGACGGCTGCAGGTAAAGCCCCGGCGTGCCAGAACCAGCCCTGGGCGCTGGCACGGAGCCCTGACATGCCAGGGGAGTTATTTATTTGGCGATGAAAGACGCACGTTTCGTTGGGAGAAACCACGGCACGGCCGCCCCCGGGGCAGGGCGAGGGTGCAGCCTGCAGACCAACCCCAGAGCCCGGCAGCCCGCACCTCCCACGCCGGCTGGGGCTGGGCTGGGGCAGGGGCTGGGAAATGAGAGTCACGCTCAGGGAAGCCACAGAGAACCTCCTCTCCTGCTGCCAGCGGCCTCCAGGCCCGGGGCACGGCACAGCCCGGTGCCTTCTGGCGTTTGCCGGGCACCTCTGGGGCTGGCCCTGCAGCACAGCTCATACCATCCCATCCCATATCATCCCATCCCATCCCATCCCAGATCCCGTCCCAGATCCCAGAGCCCAGATCCCAGTTCCCAGAGCCCAGATCCCAGTTCCCAGATCCCATCCCAGATCCCAGATCCCATCCCATCCCAGATCCATCCCAGATCCCATCCCATTCTATCCCAGATCCCATCTCATCCCATCCCAGATCCATCCCACCCCGGATTCCATCCCATCCCATCCCCCTGCTCGCACACTCCAATGCCCCACGAGGCTCCCTGGAGCAGGGAGGCCGCAGGTCCCGCCCCAGGGACGAGGCTCGCTGTCACCTCTGCCACCTCCGCGTGGGCTGCTGCCTGTGGAAGTTCCCAGCCCGAAATTAGCAGCTGCTTCACTCCCTAATTAACGGGCTGGCGACTCCCGGAGATGCCAGAGCAAGGTGTGAGCTCCCAGGGACCCTCCCTGTGCTGCCACCCACCCCCACATCCCTCTGGCATGGAGACATCCAGGAGTTCCTGCTGAACCCTGGGCTCTGCCACCCACCCAGGGGCTCCTGCTGCATCCCTGGGCTCTGCCACCCACCCAGGTGGCATCCAGGGGCTCCTGCTGCATCCTTGGGTGCTGCCACCCACCTGGGATTGCACCCAGGGGCTCCTGCTGCATCTCTGGCTGCTGGCACTCACCCAGGATGGCATTCAGGGGCTCCTCCTGCATCCCTGGGTACTGCCACTCGCTCAGCAGCTCCTGCTGCATCCCTGGGCTCTGCCACTGACCCAGGGTGGCATCCAGGAGCTCCTGCTGCATCTCTGGGCTCTGCCACACACCTGGCATTGCACCCAGGGGCTCCTGCTGCATCCCTGGGCTCTGCCACTCACTCAGCAGCTCCTGCTGCATCCCTGGGCTCTGCCACTCACTCAGGATGGCACCCAGCAGCTCCTGCTGCATCCCTGGTCTCTGCCTCTCACCCAGCAGCTCCTGTTGCACCCCTGGGTGCTGGCATCCCTTCCTGGGCTCAGGAGCAGCAGCTCCACCCAGAGCTCCTGCCAGCCACGCTTCAGCTCAGCCCCCAGGAGAAGGGGTAAATGGGATGCTCCAGGGAAGCATCAGGATCCCCAGCATGAGGGAAGAGCTCATCCTGTCCTATGCTGAGAGCACCCTGGGCATGAGAGACACTGTGCAGAACTCCACCCAGTGACACCCTGGCTTCCCAGGGCACCCCATCCCTGCCACCCTGGTGGTGGTGCCCACGCTGGGCATCCTTGCACAAGGAAGGTGAGCCAGCCCTGCTCCAGCCCACAGAGCAGCTTGGAAACAACTCCCGACCCACATCTGGGAGGAAGTGGAGGAGGAGGAGGAGGAGGAGGAGGAGAGCAGCTGAAGGTGTTGACAAACAAACTGGCTGACTCAGGCAGGAAGATGCCCAAAGCAGGGGGGCAGGAGGAAGCACCGGTCAGAGAGACCTTGGAGAAGGAATGCAGGATCACACCTGTGCATCACACCTGGCTGCCCTGACACCCCAAAGCTGGCAGGGCCTGCCTCTGTGACTGCCTGGAGCCCTCCAGCCTCAGCTGGGAGGAAGGAGCCTGCTCCTGAGCCACCCAAGTGAAACCTGTGTGGCTGGTGACTTCTGGGGGACATAAGCCTCACACAGCCACCATCAAATGGGCATGGCACCTGCACAGCCTGGGCACTGTGGGCATGGCAGGGCCTCTCCCACCTCCCTCCTGCCTTTACCCCATTCCCAGGAGGGCACAGGACCAGGCCAGGCTCTCCCCAGCAGCTCTGCTGGTCTAAGGAGCTGCAACCTCAGGAAACGCTGCCAAGCCCAAAGAGCTCCTGTCCTCCAGCACCCAGGGCTCATGGGGCAATGGGCAGCAAATCCAAACCCCCACATTTGGGAGGATAACTGGGAAAAGCTGCTTGGAGAAGGGCAGGATCCCTCCTGGGGCGGCAGCAGGGGAGAACAGGCCGAGCTAGGCAGGAAAACCCGGAGCTCTCCCCGCCACGTTGCTTTGCATGCCTGACAGCAAGTCGTGCCTTGCCTGTTGGGCTCCAGCCCCTCCCAGCTCCAGGGGCTCCTCAGGCAGCCAGGAGCCCTGGCAGGAGCAGAGAGGCGCTCCAGGAACCCAGTTTGCCCCAGTGTCTCCCAGGGAGGTGTCCCAGTACAGGTGTGTGGGCCTGCTCACCCCAGCATGGCATGGGACACGTCCCAGCCCAGTCTCCATAATCCTATTCCACAGAAATCTTTTTTTTCCCCTCATGAAATCTTTTTCTTTTCTGCAGACCCCAAGCATGGGTTAAATCCCACCCTGGGGTAGCAGCTCAGCCCTGCCAGGGTGCAGCCATCCAGCCTGTCCCTGCAAACGCCCAACCCCTGCCCCAGCAGAGCCAGATTCCTGCACAGGAAACCCAGCCAGGCTTCTCCTTGTTATTCTTCAGGATTAGGATCACAGGGGCTTGCAATCTGTGCACAGACAATCTCAGCAAGCTCCAGAGAAATTCAGGATGTGCTTTGGATCCAAACCCGCCACAGGCAGCCCCGAGCCGGTGCTGAGCCGGGCTGGAACTTTAACTAATGCAAGATGAAAACCCCAGAGCGAGTTCCAAGCTCTCCTTCAAAGCTCAGAAACCTGCTGGCGTCCTGCTGAGCCGCATACCACGTAAGCATTCCTGCCAGGACGGGGCCTGGCAGGGCAGATGGGCTGCGCGGCGAGACGGCCGTGCCTGTGCCAGCCCCACGGCAGCTCCTTCCCACAGAGCCCTTGGGGACAAAAGGACTCCAGAGCCACTCCCGTGGCGGCTTTATGGCCGCGACAGAGCAGCGATACGGCGGGGCCACCTCCAAAACATGGGCGGTCCCCATGAGACGCGCAAGGTCCAGCTCGAAGCCACCCGGGCTGTGACAGCGCTCAGGTGCGGCCCCGCTTCAGCCGCTGGAAACGAAGGGGTTTTTTGTCAGCCTGGGGAGCTGAAAGCAAAGCTGGGACACGGAAGGGCTCGGAGGTCACGTCCTGCCCGCTCAGAAGCCCCGGGGAGCCCAGCGCCAGCATCACGAGTGACGCAAAGGGGCTCGGGGGGAGCGACAGGGGGTGACCCCACTTAGAGGGGTCAGCAGTGTCACCACAGACCCCATGAGCAGCGCAGAGCCCCCCAGGCACGGCTTCACACCATCCGTCACCCCGCGGCTCCCGGGCAGCTCCGGACAGACAGACAGACAGACAGACATCCCGAGCCGGCGGACACACGGCGCTCAATGACTGCATTGTCACCCTGCCCGTCGCACGGAGCGGGCGGGGGCACTGCTGTGTCCTGCCCGGAGCCAGCGTGGGGTGCAGGCAGCCCTTCCCTCACCCCAGGACCTCTAAGGGAGAGCTCCTAAGTTCCTAAGTTGTAAGATCCTTCCCTAAGGATGTCCCAGCACTGTGGAAGGGAATGAGGCTCAGCTAGCGCCAGCATTATTTTTGCATAAATATATATATATATAATATTATATATAATATACAATTATTGTTATATATTATATATAATTTATATATATTAGTGCCCGTATGACAGCGGTGTCCCTGCGCTCCCAGCATCCCCCCGAGCCCAACTCCCCTCTCCCCTCCCCACAGCCCGAGGGGTCCCCGAGCCCCGCCGCCAGCGCAAACACCCCGGCACAACGCAGCCTTTCATTGGGGAGGCACCCCGGGTACCCCCCGAGCTGCGCCGAGACAAAACCGCGGGGAAAGTAAAAATTAAAAACTTTAAAGAGCGAGAGAGAGGCGTGGGGGTCCCGGTAAGACGGAGCGGGGGGTTCCCACGGGGATGGAAGGAGGGATGGGGAGATGCCGGGGATCCCCCCGGGATGAGCGGAGCCGGGGGATGCCGGGGGCTCACCCGCGATGTGCTGGCGGCGACCCTCGTCCAGGTGCGTGGAGACCACATCTCCCATGGCGAGCGGAGCCGGGCCGGGCCGGGCGGCGGGAGGAGCGGCGGGAGGAGGAGGGAAGAGGGAGGGGGAGGAGGAGGAGGAGGAAGAAGGCAGAGCTCGGGGCGGCCCGGCAGAACGGCGCCCCACGGCTCCCCCCGGCCACTCCTCCCGCACCGCCCCCGGCCCCGGGCAGAGGCTGCGGGTGTCCCCCCGCCGTAATTAGCGCGGCTAATTAGCCGGGGGATGGGCAGGATGGAGGAGGGGGCCGTGCCCCCAGCCGGAGCTGGGCAGTGCCCGCTGTGCCCCGCAGTGCCACCGGCAGAACCGGCTCCGTGCGGGCATTGCCACAGCCGGGCTCCGTGCTACCTGCGCCCACACCGCGGCCAACAGCTGACCTTGGTGCCAAACTGGAGAGGGGCGGCACAGCCAGGGACCTCTCAGCCTCCCCAGGCCGGGGGAGAAGGGGATGGGGTGATTTAAACCCGCCCGGGATGGGGCTGGCATCACCCGGGGAGCCGGGGGCACACTCAGAGCGGGACACTGAAACCGGGAATGTGTGTGTCTGTGTTTTCCAAGCATCGTGCGAAGCCTCCTCGGAGCCAGGCGGGGAGGAAGGAGCCGGAGGAAGCGCTGGAAAAGCTCCTCCTTCCTCTGGCTGCTGCTGCGGCTCCGCTCCCAAGCGCAACAGGCGGAAACAGCGCGCAGGATCCCGCGGCGCTGCCCGGGCACGATCCGTGGGGAGCGGAGGGAAGGGAAGGAAAGGCCCCGCCGCCCTCATTCCCAGAGCCCGGGGTGTGACCGAGGAGGAAGAGGAGGAGGAGGAGGAGGGAGGACGTGCCGGCGTGCCCAGAAAGTTCAAGCTGTTCCCAGCTGCGGAGCCGCTGCCCAGGGGGATGCACGCCCTGGGATCGCTCGGGGTGCCTGGATGCTCCCGGAGCTCGGGAAGCTCGGTTCAGCTTGGCTCGGTGTGGGGCAGCCGGCGTGGAAAAGGCTCCAGGAGGCTTTTCCTGGGCTGGCCTTGTTTACCCGGCAGCGGTGGGAGGGAGGGAGGGAGGGAGGGTTGGAAGTGGCCGGGCTGGGAGCGAGGCATCCTGTTTATCCTCCTGAAATAGCTGCCCTTGGCGGGGCTGGGCAGGGGGCGGCAGGATGGGCACAGCCCCTGTTCCCTGCCCTGCAGCGATGCCACCACCCGGGGGGCACCATCGAGTCCTCGCTGTGCCAGGGAAATGCCACCCTGGAGCCCAAATCCTCCTTTTGGGCACATTATGCCCGTGCCGTGCTCCACTCAACTCCCCACATGGCCAAAAATCATCGGCACATCGAGTGGCACAAAGATGCCACCTGCATTTGTCCCAGCTCCCTCTCTCCCCGGGGATGCCCACAGTGCACCAACCTTTTCCATCCTAACATTATTCCCACCCCTCCGACTCATTTCAATAGGAAAATAATTCCAAAGCTTTAATATTTCCTTTTTTATATCCTTTTTTCCCCCCCTGAGATGTCCCATAAGAAGGTTTTACCCTCAACACGGGGCTTGTTTGCAGTTTGTTTGCCTGGCCAGGATGGTGCTGATATCAAGGGACTCTCGTGGGAAATTTATCTGCAGCAAAATCTCATTTCCAATAGAAAATCGTTCCACTGGAGGCTTTTAAACACTTTCCCCAGTGCTGATCCCCGAGGAGTCTGGCTGGGAATTCATTTGAAATTCTGTCTTAGTGGGGTGATGGTATTTAAGAGGCGATGAAATTGCATCCACCCACTTCAAATTGAAAATAAATGGGAATATCTATCCATGTAAATAACTTCATTATTAGAAACCAAGCTTCATCCCTTCCAAAAAAGCAATGCATGGAATATGATTTAGGCAGTGCACACAGAATCCTGCTAAATAAACCAAGCCAGTGGTTAAAAAGCCTTATTTTTGAAAAATTAATCCACACAAGCACAGGAGCACTTGAGTCATCACTGCCTCTTTTGCCCACTGGTGTGTTTCTTAAATAAATAAATAAAACCTGAATGAAGAGGTTAAAAAACAGACAGCATTGATATTGTTGATTTGCAAACAGGAAGGGAATGGTTGTGGCACACAGAAATAGCCTGTCAGCAGAGCCTGGAGCTGTCCCACAGACACACAGGCTGCTTTTGGGGCTCCCAAAACCACCCGAGGATGGGCACCATGTCCTGGCACCACCAGACAGTGCCACGTGTGACACAGCAGGGAGCTTTGGGCACAGGCTCAGCTGCCAAAGCTTGGGCCAGGAAAGTAAAGGAGTTGTTTGAAGGGTTTTATTGGGGCTGGAGACATTCGGGAGCTCAAAACTCACAGCAGGTGATCACAATTGGGTTTATTCCTACAGGGTGATGTGCAGAGGGGATTGTCCCCAATGTGCTCCTGGTTGGGGTTTCCTTCATCCCTGCCACCCTGATGGGTGTCTGAGGATGATGAGGGTGGGAATGGGGATGGGAATGGTTTATTCTTCCTCTGCAGCACATTTTGGTTTATTCCCACATGGCCACATGCAGAGGACATTGTCTCAAATGTGCTCCTGGTCAGGGTTTCCTTCATCCCCACTGCCCCAGTGGCTGCCCCAGGAGGACAGGGATGGGGATGGGAATGGTTTGTCCTTCCTGTCTGGCACATTTTGGTTTATTCCCACGTGGTCACATGCAGAGGGGATTGTCCCCAATGTGCTCCTGGTCAGGATTTCCTTCATCTGTGCCACCCTGATGGGTGTCTAGGGATGATGAGGATGGGAATAGGGATGGGGATGGTTTGTCCTTCCTCTCCAGCATATTTGGGTTTATTCCCACATGGCCACATGCAGAGGACATTGTCCCCAGTGTGCTCCTAGTCAGGGTTTTCTTCATCCCTGCCACCCTGATGGGTATCTGAGGAGGATGAGGATGGGGATGAGGATGAGGATGGGGATGGGAATAGTTTGACCTTCCTCTCCAGCACATTTTGGTTTATTCCCACATAGTCATGTGCAGAGGGGATTGTCCCCAACGTGCTCCTGGTCAGGATTTCCTCCATCCTGGCCACCCTGATGGGTGCCTGAGGAGGATGAAGATGGAGATGGGAATAGTTTGTCCTTCCTCTCCAGCTCATTTTGGTTTATTCCCACATAGTTATGTGCAGGGGGGATTGTCCCCAACATGCTCCTGGTCAGGGTTTCCTTCATCCCTGCCACTATGCTGGGTGCCTGAGGAGGATGAGGATGAGGATGGGGATGGTTTGTCCTTCCTCTCCAGCTGCAGTTCCTGGGAGCCCAGCCTCACATTCTGAGCCCACCCTGCTGAGCACAAGGGGTGCAGACACAGCCCCCCACTGCCCTCCTGCCTCCCCTCCTGGCTCCATCCTTCCCAAGGATGTCTTTAAATCCATCCCCCTTTGCAGGCTCAGCTCCCATCTCCCAGCTCTGCTTCCCCACATCCTCTGCAAAGGCTCCAGGTAAAGCCCCTGGATTCAGAACAAACCAGCAGTGCCAGCAGCACAGGTGATGCCCAAATGGCTTTGTCACACCCTGTCCTGGGCCTGTCCCACATGCTGGGGCTCTGAGGGACCTGGCACAGCCGTCCCTCCCATCAGAGGCTGTGCAGTGTTTGAGTTGTGCAGAATTGCAGGCTGATAAAGTCTAATCATGGCAGCTAATTACGTCTCACTGAGGAGATGGAAATAATGCTTATCTGCCTGGAGCTGATGAATTATCTAGCCCAGCTTGGAAATGAAGGATTTCCCTGTGAATACAGCTGAGGAGAATAAACATTCCCGTGATTTCAGGCAGCTCCTGGGGTGGTGGAGATGGCAGCAGCGAGCTGAGGTGGTTCCCACACTATTAAAGCCTTCAAAGTCTTCAGTGCATTAGTCCATCATGATGAGGAAAGTGTCCCACACCTGTCCTTCCCCCTCTCAGGACTTATGGATGGTTCTGATGCCACAATCCACGGCTGTGACAAAGCATTTTTTTTAAAGTTGATGATGTGGGGTGTTGTTTCTTCTCACAGCAGTCAAACCAAGCCTGGCAGGGGCTGTGTGCTCATCCCCCTGCCCTCCTCCTGCCCCTCAGCTGGTCCCTCTGGATTCGGTGCCTGTGAGGGGGGGATCATCCCACCTTGCTCCCGTTGGATTTTCCATGAGCACGGTGCAGAACCTGAGCACCTGCAGAGAGCCCAGAACGGGCTGTTCCCAACCTCTCCCCTCCTCCAGAATTCCTGCAGCCGCGGAGCGCTGCGGGATAAATCTCCAGCCCGGCAAATGTGCATTTCCCTCTCAGCCACACCAGGAGCAATCAGTGGAGTTTTCCTTCCACTCTCAGTGACCCTGGCACAGGGATCTATTTCCACCTCACCAGATCACCGGGAAACCCGATCGCGGTGGAGGCTGGGGGGGTTTGAGGGCAGGAGCTGCAGCCGAGGGGAGGTCGGGGTGTCCCTCAGAGCTGGGCTCAGGTCCCCATCCACAGGATGGGGTTGGAAACACACCTGGGGTCACTCTGATGTCCCGGACATGTCCTTGTTAAGGGACCCGCTGTGCTCCGGGGTCCGAGCCGGCCCAGGCTGGGCAGGAGGGAGAAGCAGCGGCAGACAAGGGGGTGGAGGTGCCCTCCTGCTCTCGGTGCAATTACCAGCAGCGTGATTGCGGCAATAAAACTTTGCAATGCTGATAAAGGCGAGGGCAGCCGTGCCCAGCGCCGGAGGTGATGCCGTGCCCGCGGGCTGCTGCGCCCTCCGTCCCATGCTGACTCCAGCGCTGCGCTCCGATAACAGCGTCATTAACTCTGCTGAATCAGGCCTGCCCCGAGCCGCTTCTGCTGAATCAGGGCTGCATCCGTCAGCTCTGAGCGGGATCCGTCAGCTCCAGCCTGAACACGGAGCTCTGGGCGGGATCCATCAGCTCCAGCCTGAACACGGAGCTCTGGGCGGGATCTGTCAGCTCCAAACCCCGGCTCCAATCTGGGCGCGGAGCTCGGAGCGGGATCCGTCAGCTCCAGCCTGAACACGGAGCTCTGAGCGGGATCTGTCAGCTCCAGCCTGGGCATGGAGCTCTGAGC